AGGAGGAATAGAGAGGAGCAGCTGGGAGCTTAGTGCCTCCCTACAGAAAGACAGCCGTATGTAAATAAGTACAGGCCATATGCAAATAAAAGCTTTTGTTAGGGAGCTGGTGGGGGGCCTTGGGCATCAGCTGGGGTAACCTAAAGGTTGGCACTGGGGGAGGGGCTTCTGCCCCCTTGCTGGCCTGGGCAGAGCCTGGTTCTTACCCCAGAAGTCCCAGGAGAAGCAGTGAGCTCATGGCACAGCTGGAGGCGGGGGGGAGGGCATTGTGTGACTGGGGCCGTGCCCTGTCCAGCTTGGGCCACTGGCTCCATTGTCTGGCCCAGGTGACGCAGCTGAGCCAGCCAGCTCTTCTGCGCAAGATTTGGCCAGCTCCCCTCCAAGTGGGCTCAGAATCCCTTAGTCAGAAGGCTCTCCCGGCCAGGTCCGGAAGAAGTGGGGTGGAGGGATAGGGTGCAGATAAGGAGGACAGGTGGAGTCAGGAATTACGAGCCCTCTCCTGCCCTGAGGGGCTCTGCCTCTGCTTGGCTGGAATGGGAGGCAAACCTGGGCCTGCACCCCCTCCTGGACATCCAGGTGTCTTAGCATCCCTTCCCTGTTCCCAGAGCAGGCCCCAAACTGTGCCAATCCTCCCCGGTTTCCTTTCGCTTCACAGGCAGGGATCAAGAAAGGTGGTAGTTGGGGACATGGAATGGGGACCCAGGCTTCCCAACTCTTTGTGCTTTCCCATAGGAGTCGGATGCGGTGCCCGGGAGGTGCTGGTCCCCGAGGGGCCCCTGTACCGCGTGGCTGGCACGGCCGTCTCCATCTCCTGCAATGTGAGTGGCTATGAGGGCCCTGCCCAGCAGGACTTCGAGTGGTTCCTGTACAGACCTGAGGCCCCAGACGCTGCCCTGGGCATTGTCAGTACCAGGGATACCCGGTTCTCCTACGCCATCTTCGGGCCCCGTGTGGCTGCCGGTGAAGTGCAGGTGCAGCGTCTCCAGGGTGATGCTGTGCTGCTCAAGATCGCGCGCCTGCAGGCCCAGGACGCAGGGATTTACGAGTGCTACACACCTTCCACTGATACCCGCTACCTGGGCAGCTACAGCGGCAAGGTGGAGCTTCGAGGTACAGGGCCCTGGGATGGGGCAGAAAGTCAGGGCCAGGTGGGACCTATCTAACGCAGAGAGGCTAAGTGACTCACAAAGTCACCCGTGGTGGCTGGGGTGGGACTCAAACCCAGATTCCTTCATTGCAGTCCACTGCTCTCCTAGCAAACTCCCTCATGGGAGAAGGGCAAGTGTGTCTAAGCTGTGCTGTCTACTCTCTACTCCCCAGTAGGGCGGGGCAGCCTGAGGGGCTGAGCGGGCTGTACTCCTGGAGAGTCCAGAGCTGGGGTAGGACTTAGACCAGCTGACATTCTTGCCCTTGTACACTTGTTGGTGTTTTCTCAGTATTTCAATGTGGGGTTGCTCTGGAACATAACGGTGAGTAGGCAATGGGCTGGTTCTACCAAATTCAGCAAGTGTTTATTGAGCTGCCGTGGTGTGCCCAGTGCCATGCTTGGCACCACTGAGTTACAGAAGAACTAACACAACATGCAGTCTCTGCTCTCCAGGGGCTCGCGCTGGTCTGCTTAGGGAAACAGGACAAGAGCTGCCAGCTCCCGGCCCTCCCTCACTCCTTCTCCCCTCTCAGTTCTTCCAGATATGCTACAGGTGTCTGCTGCACCGCCGGGGCCCCGAGGCCGCCAGGCCCCAGCCTCCCCTCCACGCCTGACAGTGCACGAGGGCCAGGAGCTGGCCCTGGGCTGCCTGGCGCGGACGAGCACACAGAAGCACACACACCTGGCCGTGTCCTTTGGACGAGCCGTGCCTGAGGCGCCCGTGGGGCGAGCGACTCTGCAGGAAGTGGTGGGACTTCGTTCCGACCTGGCCGTGGAGGCCGGGGCTCCCTATGCTGAGCGGCTGGCTGCAGGGGAGCTGCGGCTGGGCAAGGAGGGGAGCGATCGGTACCGCATGGTGGTTGGGGGCGCGCAGGCCGAGGACGCGGGCACCTACCACTGCACTGCCGCGGAGTGGATTCAGGATCCTGATGGCAGCTGGGCCCAGATCGCGGAGAAGAGGGCTGTCCTGGCCCAGGTGGACGTGCAGACGCTGTGTGAGTGCCCACACCCCCACCCTGGAGCTCCAAGGCCCGCTGTCCTCTCTCCCAGTGGACTCCGAGCCACCTCTGACTTCAGGGAACTCATTTTCCAAAGAGCGGGTGACCCTGTCAGCTTCGTTTCCCTCTCCACCTGTGACAGCTTTTCTCTGCCCAGGTGTTAGGGGAGGAGATAGCAGGGCCATGGCTGGGGATGAGCATCCTGTCCCTGGGCGCAGGAGATGGTGACACCCAGTGAGGGGCAGACAGGAGGCCTCCAAATTGCTGCCGTCGGGGAAGGAACCACAGCTGTGGAGTCGGGTGCCACTGTGACATTCTTCTCCCCTCCCGTGTTTCAGCCAGCCAACTGGCAGTGACCGTGGGGCCTGGAGAGCGTCGCATCGGCCCAGGGGAGCCCTTGGAGCTGCTGTGCAACGTGTCCGGGGCACTGCCCCCACCAGGCCGTCATGCTGCGTACTCCGTGGGCTGGGAGATGGCACCTGCAGGGGCACCGGGGCCTGGCCGCCTGGTAGCCCAGCTGGACACAGAGGGCGTGGGCAGCCTGGGCCCTGGCTACGAGGGCCGGCACATTGCCATGGAGAAGGTGGCGTCCAGGACCTATCGGCTACGGCTAGAGGCTGCCAGGCCTGCTGATGCAGGCACCTACCGCTGCCTCGCCAAGGCCTATGTTCGAGGCTCTGGGACCCGGCTTCGTGAGGCAGCCAGTGCTCGCTCCCGGCCTCTCCCTGTGCATGTGCGGGAGGAAGGTGAGGGGCTCATAGAACCTTCTGTTTCCATGCCCTCTCCTTGTTCATCGGCCTCATGCTCCTCTTCCACTGTAATTATGGGGATACCCTGAGTTTCCTGGGACCTAACCCCCTGTCCCTGCCCCTCTGCCCTCTGATTCCTGTCCTCTGTTTTGCAGGTGTGGTGCTGGAGGCCGTGGCATGGCTGGCAGGGGGCACAGTGTACCGGGGGGAGACTGCCTCCCTGTTGTGCAACATCTCTGTTCGGGGCGGCCCCCCAGGGCTGCGGCTGGCTGCCAGCTGGTGGGTGGAGCGACCAGAGGAGGGGGAACTGAGCTCTTCCCCTGCCCAGCTGGTGGGCGGCGTGGGCCAGGACGGGGTGGCAGAGCTGGGGGTCCGGCCCGGAGGAGGCCCTGTCAGCGTGGAGCTGGTGGGGCCCCGAAGCCATCGGCTGAGACTGCACAGCTTGGGGCCCGAGGATGAGGGCGTGTACCACTGCGCCCCCAGTGCCTGGGTGCAGCATGCAGACTACAGCTGGTACCAGGCTGGCAGTGCCCGCTCCGGGCCCGTCACAGTCTACCCCTACACGCATGGTGAGTGGGCCCCACCCTCCAGCCCCTGCCTCATTGTCCCTTTCCTGCCTCTGAGCCTCCTGCCGCCATCCTCTCTCTCTCCTCCATGTAGCCTGCTGAAAGGTCTCGGGAACCCAGTGTTTGCCCCTTGTGCCCACCTGTACCCACGTCCTCATATGCGGAGAGGGCAGCAGTGGGCGGGGGAGGGACCGTGTGCACAGGGGAGGTGGGGGATGAGCGTGACGGTCGGGGGTGGGAGACGAGGGCACCCCCTCTGAACTGAACCACCCTCTCTCACCCAGCCCTAGACACCCTGTTAGTGCCCATGCTGGTGGGAACAGGGGTAGCTCTAGTGACCGGCGCCATCGTCCTTGGCACCATCACCTGCTGTTTCATGAAGAGGCTGCGGAAGCGGTGATCCCTCACTCCCCAGGTGAGGGGGAAAAACAGCCCCCACCCCATCTTGTCTTCCTTAGGACTCCTGCCCACAAGTCCTAAGCTGAACTACTCCCTCCCCACCTCGGGGAAGAGGAGGCTGCTCAGCTCTGCAGCATCCCGTTAGGGAGGGAGGCCCGCCCGCCCAGGGCTCTCTGACCTCAGCCCCCTCCACGCTTTCTCCAGTTCTTGCAGGTGTTGACTGTCTTCTGGCCCAGCTCCAAGCCCTCTGTCTGGTTGCCTGGACACCCTCGCCCGCTGCCCCCCTCCCTGTTAATTTATTTGACCTACTCCCCCAACCCAGAGTGGGAGACATGGCCCCTACTTCCCACTCCTCACCTCCCAAACGCCTCCCTCTGGCTGCCTGTTCTTGATCTCATACCTGCCCCCTGGGGAGGCCATTCCCTGTCCCAGTCCCAGAATTAGTTTTTCTAAAATGTGAATAAACTGTTTTATACAACCCAGGCCTGGCTGTGTCTTCCCCCAGCATGAGGCTGTAGGAGGCTGGGGCGGGGTGGGGTGGGGTGGTAGGCAGGTTGGGGCCTGACAGCCTATTCTGGATAACCCAGGCTTCTCTCCCCACCACAGACACCATCTGGCCTCTGTGGGCTGTGCCGCCCACTCCAGGAGGGGACACCTGGGTCCCATCTGTTGCCGGAATTGTCAGTGTCGAGCCAACTCCTCACTGGGCTTCTGCTTGGGAGAGAGTATGGAAAGGGAGGGGGAGTTCTGGCTGAGCTTTAGCCCTGCCCTCGCCATCCACCCATGTTAGAGGGCAAGGGCTTCCGGGGGGCGGGGCCTTTCCTGAGCTCCCCAGACTCCTCCACTCCCCTCTGCCAGGCTCATTCTCCTGGTCAGGCTAGTCTTAGACCTGACTCCTCCCAGCAGCCCCTGGGGCATCTTTTTCCTCCTGACCTTAATTATCCTGTCTGGCAGCAGGACAATAGGAGCCCAGAGCGCAGCCACCTGGGTGGCAGGGACAGTGGCAGTCAGGAGGACCTGTGTGCCCACAGAGCCGCTGCACCTGCGTCCACCCCCGCCTAGCTTCTCTCCTTTGCCTAAGGATTCTCTGATCCTAAAATTCACAGCCGGACTGAAGCTTAAGAGGCATCGAGTATCCCTGTTTCGGTTTAGTTATTTAGACATTTATTGAGCATTACTGATTTGCTAAATGTCATTTTTACAGATGAGAAATCAGGTCCAGAGAAGTGATGTGACTTTGCCCAGCATCATAGAGCTAAAAGTGATGGTCAGTGTCAGGACCAGAACCCGGGCCTCCTGACTGTGTGCACCGTGTGGTGGTGCCCTGAGTGGGGACGGTGGCAAGGAGGCATGTGGCAGGGTCTCGGTGACTTCCAGGGGGAGGAGGAGGCCTGTCCCAGCCTCAGTGTCCCTGCCTGGGCTAACCACCGTGTGCCTGTGTGTATGGGGTTGGGCAGCCCCCACACCTGTCTGCACTGCACCTGTTACACTGAATTGAATCAAAATCACTCCCATGTTCTGCCCCAACATCCGTCTGTTCTTGAGGGGACAGCTGATGCCAGCGTTTGGAAACCCCGTCTTTGAGGGTGACTCGGGTGGTCCTGTGACCGTGCCTAGACTGACAGGAGGGGATGGCAGCTTGGGTCCTCTGAGGCTGCCTCTGTGACTGCTTCCCCTGCTCCCAGGGGACCCTGGCGTCCCAGCCGGGGACTGGCCCCTCACACATCCTGCTTCGTGGGTAGGACTCTTCCAGGAGGCCAGCCTCAGGTCCCTGGACGCTCCTGCCCCTTCTTCACTTGCCACGACTCTCCCCTCACCATCCTAGCATGGCTGGGAAGAGACTAGGAAGGGCTGGAGTTGGGGCGGGAACGTGTGCCTCCATGGCCCCTGGTCCCAGCTGGGCAGAAAGCAGGCTGTGAGCCCATCCAGGTCCTTCTCTCTTTTTCTTCCACAGTCAGCTCTGCTTCTCCAAGTCTCTCAAGGGGCGCATTCCTTTGCCACTGGAGCCTCTCCTGCTCGGGCTCCCCGTGACCTCCCAGGAATCCCCTTAAGCCTCATCCTGCCTATCTTGCCCTCTCGTCTTCCCCAAAGCCACCTCAGCTTGTCATTGCCCTGTTCCCACTGACCGCTGAGCTCCTGGGCCAGAAGTTACACCCTTCAGCCTGGGTTTCAGGTCCCCCTCTGCCTTCCCCTCCATGCTACCCTTTCTGTTTCTCTTGCTGGCTGCCCCAGGATCCTCAGCGTCTGTGCTCCATCTCCTGATAAGGTCTCCAAGATCTTGTGACAGCAGCAGTTCTCAGAGGGTGACCCCCAGGCAGGACCCGGGAGCTGGTTGGAAATGCCTTATTTTTGATCTCCGCCCAGAACTATTGAGTAAGAAACCCTGGGAGTGTGGCCCAGCAATCCGTGTTTAAACATGCCGTCCAGGTGACTGACCCACATGGGCATTTTCAAACTGGGTTGACGTCATTTCCTCTGAGTTACTCAACCCCGGGCTTTCTGATGAACACAACCCTTTCACCCCCTGCTCTGAGAGACTGCACAGTTCGCAGCTGGAAGGAACCACACCTTGCTCAGCTGCCACAGGTACAGTTCCCATATGCCCAGTATCCCCGGGCTAAGAGCCAGGTCTTTGAAGGTCTACTCCCCATGGTACCGATCAATGATTTCAGCAACACCCCCACTGGTGCCCCAAGGACAAACTCTGCCTTCCCCAGGGACCCTTGTGGTACGGCTCTAGCGAACCCACTTTCTAGATCTCTCCCATGGCCCCCTTTCCTCCTCAGCACTTCTCTCTCCCTTCCTGCCCTTGCAGCGGTATCTGCAAGATCTCATTCCACTCTCAGAAAATAGCCATGCCGATCTCTTCCCAGGCCCTGCTCCAGGGCCCCCAGCTCTGACATCTCCCTCCACTTCCTACTTGCTTGCCTCTGGGCTAAGGTCACTGACACCTTGCTGAGTTTCCTTTGCAGTCCTTCATCCTCCTGCTCAGACCGGCACAGTGGGAGGGGTGCAGCTGGGAGGGCACCTTCGTCACCTGTACCCACCACCATTCAGCTTTACCTGCTCTGGCCCAGCTTGGAGTACGGTGTCCAGTTGGACAGGTGTGCCATACCCGGGGAGGCTGGCTGGAGAAGTGAGTGGGGGCTGCACTGCCTCCCACACTCTGTTCCCCGAGCATGCACCCTGGCTTCGGGGCTTTGTTGGAAGGGGAAGGGTATCTTTCTGGAGCTTGCACAAAGGTCCTCTGTGGGTTAGTGGCAGCCCTGTCATTCGGTCCCACCCGTCAGCTGCCTCTGTCTGCCACCACCTTCTATCCCCCAACAAGTCTATCCCTCTGTCCATCCATCCTCCTGTGAACAGACACGAAGGTCAAACACAGACTGCTATGTTCCCTCTCTTACCCTCTATTCTCAAATAAGGACCTTTCCCTTCCATGTGGGACCCTACACTCGAGCTTCTGAGGGGGCCTCTCCAACTTCAGCACATTCGCAGTGGTCTTGCCTGCCTCCTCCACCTCTGACAGCCAGCTCCCCTGTACACCTGTGTCTGGGCCCCGGTCTGCCACAGAGGTCTGGAGGAGACTGGTCACTCACACCTTGGACTCACTCTCTGGGGGTGGCAGGCAGCCATTCTGCTCCTTGTCAGCCCCAGCCTCCTCCCCGGCCCCCTCCCCAGCCCCCTCCTCCTCCACCTTCTCGTCCAGCCGGCTGGGGATGGACCAGTAGAGATGAGCATCAAGACGGGCTGCGGCCTCGGCCAACTCCCGGGCGCTGCACGAGGGTGTGGGCACCTCGAAGGTCTCGTGGAAGCTGGCATAGTCCACTTCATAGAAGCCGTCCTCCAGGGTCAGCACTGATGTGAAGCGGTGACCCCACAGCACCTCGTCCACCAGGTAGGAGCTCCGAGCTTGGCATGTCATTCCTGGGTGTGCAGGGCGGGGTGGGTGGGAAGGGGCACCAGTCATTGCAAAGTCCATTCTGAGCACCATTCCCTCCATCCCTCCCAGGGGCTCCTGCCTCCCCCTTCCCAACTCCTGTTCTTGGCCAGCCCCCGCACCTCCTCTCATTTACCTCGACTGCCCTTAGTCTCCAGCCATCGCTTTCCCCTCTTCTTCAATGGTGATGCCAACCACAGAAGCCATAACCTTGAAACTAACCTTAGGGATCATCTGGTGCAACTTCCACCTCCATACGAGGCTCCCTGCTGGAGCACCCCCAACAGTGGGCGTCTAGCTTATGCTTGCCCACCTCCTGGGATCAAGAGCTCACCACCCCGTAAGGAGCCCACTGCTTTCTGCAAAGGCCCTAACAGCTGGGTTCTTCTTTAAACAGAGGAGAATCTGCCTCTTGACAGATTCACCCCCAAAAAGGCCGGTCAGAAGCCAGAGAGCTGGACTGGAAGAGGAGCAACCGGGACTAGAACCCGGCGCCCATATGGGATGCTGGTGCCACAGGCGGAGAATTAACCAAGTGAGCCACGGCGCCAGCCCAGGCTAAACACTTCTGGCTTCCTCCTCCATTCCTCACTGGATCTGGTTTTCACAAATTTCACTTTCTCGATGGCAAACCAGAATGGCCAGGAGGAACCCTTAAGTAGCCCCTTGAGTATGATAAATTTTCATCTGTGGCCGATCCACGCACACGAGAGGGCTCATCGTCTCTCTGTCCTCTGGCCACGGGTCTTTTAACTAAGAGGGCACAAGATTGCATTACATAAACGCTTTTGGAAGCTGCATCGCATTGCTGTGACATCAAGCCTGTGGCCAACTAACCCCCGCCCAGTTCTTTTTTCGCCAGAGCTCTTCCATGCTGTGCTTACATAAGTGATTTTTTTAAAGCCTAAATGTAGAATTTTATATTTATTCCCTTTAAATGTCATCTTGTTGGGTTTTGGCTCATTATTCTTGCTTTTCAAAAGCATTTTTGAATCCTGACTCTCTCACCCAAAATATTACCACCCTTGCCAGCTTTATCTCTCTAGAAAAATCAGTCGGCTTTCATCCCTTGTCCTCTCCACTGCCACCCTTCCCAGTCTGCCTAGCCTTGGGCCTGTGTCCTATTTTCCCAGTTGGGTCAGAACACTTTGTGGGGCAGGTCATTCTCCCCGGATCTCAGGGTCTCTCTCTAACCCACACCCATCTCATAACAAGGGACAGGGGAGAGTGGACATGGGCATGTCATGGGAGCTCTCAACATGGAGGCCTGGCCCTGAGACATCCTGGGGGCTTGGCGTTTTTTGGTGAAGGCTGGAATAAGAAGCATGGAATAAGAAGTATGGGGGAGGGAGGCAGGGGAAGAAGAGCCCTAAGCTAAGGGGTGCTGGGGAGAGAGGGGGCTGAGAGGAGAATGTTCCCATAAAGAGAGGGCCAGCCTCAGATACTGCCTGGAAAGGAGCTACAGCTGGAGAAATGGAGGAAAGAGAACAGAGTGAGTGAGGGAAGGGGAAAGAGCTAGGGGAAGCCCGGCAAGGTGCATTGAGATTGGGGTAGGGTGAAGGAGCCAGGGAAGGGTTTGATGGCCCCAGCTTGTCAGAAAGGCCACCAGGAATAACAGAAGCTCTGGACAGTGGCAGGAACTGCAGTGCCCCCTAGTGGGCCTTTGTTCTCCCCTGGGAGGTGGGGGCGCTTTCCTTATCATGCAACCTGTGGATCTCAAATCCTAGGGGACCTCACTTGCAGCTACTACACTGGCCTTTTCTTACCGACCCTAAACCCATCACCGAGCTGGCCAGAGCTGGAGGTACTGACATCCCAGCTGGGTTGTCATTCCTTGGGAAGGGGCTGGAAATGGTATTTCCCTTGTCCTCTGAAAGTTGAGTCTTTTGCTGCATAGAGAAACCGAGGCAGGAGTGACCAGGTATTAAGCCCTCCTTAAGGTCCAGCCTTGGACTAACTCAGGCTATAACAAACCTCCACCATCCAACTCCAGGGGCCTGGCCTATCAGCAAGGAGGTGACCTCTAAGCATAACACCTCCTTCCAACTGCAGACCGCTGAACACTGAAGCCAGCCCATCTGGGACCAACCGAGGCATGGCCACTTAGTGCCTTATGACAGCCGATGAGCACTATAACAAGAAGTCACCTCCAGGGGGCTCCTGCTAGGGTGAAACGAGCTCACGGATCGGGGCGCGTGCTTTGGAACTGTGCAGGACGCAAAGCGAGTACCTGGCGAGGGTTACTCTCGGTGTTCCCAGGAACACGCACCTCTCGGCCCAGGAGCACTTCGGAGAATTCCTCCACGCTGTTTCGTCGCTCTCCCGCCCTATCTCACCTCCATCTCCCGTTCCTCCCAAGCCTGTGGGCCAGCTCCCTCCCTCCCAGCTGCCTGCCCGGTTCTTCCTCCGCCCTGCCCGTCCGCCCCCGCCGCCCAAGCCCGGTCCCCGCCCGCACCCGTGGCTTCCACCATGCCCTCGAGGATGACCACGATCTCGAAGTCGTCTCTCTCTAGGGCGCGGCGCGACGCCTCCCAGAAGGGGCTGGCGGCGTCGATCTCGTGGCTGATGACGAGCGGCGAGACGAGGAAGAGGCGGTCGTCGCCCGTGTCGAAGCCCACGCTGAGGTCGGTCTGGTGCAGCGGGATGAACTCGCCCTCCAGCGTCTGGCGCGAGCGGATGAGCTTGGCGCGGATGGAGGCCTCGACGATGTGCGAGGAGCGCAGGTCGCCCACGCGGAACATGAGGCAGAGGCGCCCGTCGCGCAACGACACCACGGCGTGCGAGGAGAAGACAAGCGTGGCGGCGCGCTTGTTGGGCTGCGAGATCTTCACGAACATGCAGCCCACCATGAAGGCGTTCACCATGGAACCCAGGATGGCCTGCAGCAGCAGCAGCACGATGCCCTCGGGGCACTGGTCGGTGATGACGCGGTGCCCGTAGCCGATGGTGGTCTCCGTCTCGATGGAGAAGAGGAAGGCTGCCACGAAGCCATTCAGGTTGTTGACGCACGGCGTCCACGCCGTGTCCTCCAGGTGCTCCAGGTCGCCGCGGCCGTAGGCGATCAGCCACCAGATGGCGCCGAAGAAAAGCCAGGTGAGCGCGTAGGCGAGCACGAAGAAGAGCAGGCTGAGGCGCCACTGCAGGTCCACGAGCGTGGTGAACAGGTCGGTCAGGTAGCGGTACGTCTCGCGCACGTTGCCCTGCTGCACGTTGCACCTGCCGTCCTTCTCCACGTAGCGCTGGCGGCCGCGGCGGCGCGGCGGCTCCTCGGGCCCCGGCGAGAAGGCGGCGTTCTCCTGCGCCATGGCGGCGGCGGGCAGTTCCGCGCGCGCGCGCCGGGCGCCCGCTGGGCTCCTAGAGGGGCTTGAGAGAGGTTTGCTGAATTAATGGACTGGCGGGCTGGGGGTGAGGGGGTGAGGGGGTGAGGGGGTGGGGGGTGGGGGACTCGAGGCTCCCGGGCCAGCCCCGAGTGACTGACTGGGCGGTCCTGAGTGAGTAGCTTGGTTTCTCAGCCTCACTCTTCCAATCAGCAGAATGGGATTGATGCTTACAGCCCCAACTGCCACCCTCCCCGCCTCCCCGCCCAAATCCCACGCTCCAAGACTTGGGAGGATCAGATGGTGTCATGTAAACGCACCGGACGGCACCATGCAGCTCCTACGATTATTCTTAGGGGAAGGAGTTACAGGAAAAGAAGCCTGGTGCCACCGCCTGTACCTGGCAAAAAGCAGCACCTCACTGGCATCCCGGCAGAAGACCCCAGCTGGAAGGCGTTTTCTCTCCAATGTCGAGTCACCAGGCCTGCCCTAAGGACCTGCGCCCTCTTTTCCCGGACTTCCCTCCACAGTTCAACCTGCCCATCTAACCTGGCTCTTCTGGAATCGCCCCAAGGCTGTCCCATGGAAGTCCTCCCCGCTCCTTCCTCCCTGGACCTCAACATCCTGCCCACTTCATCTTCCTGGCATCAAGGAGCTTGCACAGGAGGAGAGCAGGGGGAGGTGTGGGAGAGAGTGAAGCATCTCCAGCCCTGCAAGGCTTGAACATCCTCATGCTGGGAAGCGCTCTCCTCACCCCTGCACTCCTCCCCGAGGGGTCAGCCTCATTCCCCCCAGGTCCTCTCCCCGGTGGGAACAGTCTGACATTGGGGAGGGGGACTAGAGGATGTGAGATCCACACAGGCAGCCAGGGTAAAGCAGGCACAGAGTGCAGCTGGGGTTAGGCTCCTATCCCTCTGTTCTTCACAGCAGATATGGAAGCAGATCGAGTGAAGCAATAGGCACCCACATTTACTTCCCCACCTGCTCCAGTTCTGTCCCCCCACCCTCCTACTTTCCATTGCGTATCAACGTCAGCCCCACCCCCATCTGCCATATGCCCCAAGCCTACACACCCAGCGAAGCCCACCTAACTTTGCTCCAGATTCTTCCCCCCAGAAGAGCTCTCTGAGCCCTGAGATGGAGGTCCAGAGCCCTTCCTTAGGCACCCTGGGTCTCCCCAGAGATATGAACCACACCAAGAAAGGTCTAGAATAGGTATCTGGTACCCTTCTCTTTCCCGAGAATTGTCCTGTCCCCCTAAGAGGTCTGGACTAGCGGGCAGGAGGGGATGACATGAGGATCACAAATGGCCCTGGGTATTTGACCAAGTCCTAGGAGATACTTTCTGGATATGGATGTCTAAACCCAGCACTCAGGAATTTAAGTCGGAGAGGGTGTGTGTGTGTGTGTGTGTGTGTGTTGGGGTGGGTGGTAGGAGGAGAAACCAAAAAGACCTGACTTGGATGGAGTTCAAGGGCACCCCCACATCTGTTTTGCATGGAGCCAGGGACACAGAGGCCAGCCATGTGGCAATGGCAGGTTAGGGTCTTCTCCTGCCCCAACAGTGGGCTTCCGTGTCACTTTCTGAGCACGGGACGTCCTCGGGAAGCGATCGCTGGACATTGACTGCCTCAGAGACTGCAGGTCATGCAGGAAAGCACCCGGGTCCTGTTCCTCCCAGCTTTAGCCCCAGGTGGGCATCCAGCCATCCTCTCAGGGAGGGGACTCCACTGTCCTATCACCCCCAGAACTCCCTCCCTGTCTATTGCCCCCAGGGAGCTACGTGAGCCTCGTTTTGCTGGAGTTCCATCTCCTGCCCTCCTGAGTAGGGAGCTGCATTTTTCTCAGAGGGAAGGAAAGGTGTGAAATTGTTGCGTTCATTCCAAGATCGTCTGCATCTTCCCTCCAATAATTCCAGTTCCTCCCACCTACTTCTCATTCTCGTGCATGCTGTGACCCCTAAAGCAGAAGATCCACTAGCACATTTTCCTGGACCCCTCTTCCTCCTCCTAAAGGGTATTGAGCAGCAAGGGGGCTGATTTTTTTTAGAAGAGATTTGGTGAAAACTCCCTTGGGAACCAGCTCCTCCCAAACCCTCATTTGCCTGGGAAATAGGGGGCCCAAACCCCAAGTCCCCCGCAACTCAACTCACAGCGTGTGGAGAGGACAGGAGCCGGCAGCAGAGACCCTTGGGGGGTGGTGTCCATGCCCCTGACACCGCCCCCCACCAGGCCCCCTTGGAGGGTGGGAACCGCAGATACTGCTGTTTCTCCTGGATGTAGCGGCAGCTCTGACTAGGACTTGCTATCTGTGTCATCCCCACTTCCCAGGCTCCCCTGCTCCTCCTGGTTTCCATGGCAACCAGTCTGGCGACAGCGCCACAGCATCCCCCTCCCCTCCCCAGTCCTGGGTACCACTAGGGGCTGATCCACGCGCCAAAGCTATTTTTAGCTGAAGTCCCTCCTCCTGGACAGCTCAAAGCTCGCCTCCTCACCCCCTCATAAGAGGAAAAAAAATAAAAAGGGAAAGAAAGCTGGCAGGCATGCTGGCTCTTTCCTAAGAGGTTCCTTGCTTTGGGAAAATACAAGCCCTGGTGTATTTTGGGAATAAGGTGTTTGGTTTCCTGGGGTTTCAGAGGGTCACCTGGTGCTCCCCACCCCCAGCAGGACCTGTGGTGTGTCGGGGCTGCCATCAGGTCAGGCGGGCCATCCCAGCCTACATTTTTGGAGATGCCTCTGATTCAGAAGAGGGTAGCTAGAGAGAAAAGAGACCCACACAGTGCAGGAAAGGGAAGGGTTCTAATCCTAGCAAAGGTTGACGTGAGCCCTGCTTCCCCGAGCTGCAGTTTTCTAGTCTGGTCCAGGGTGTGGGCACGTGCAAACAGCCGTGTTCTGTGCACACTTCAGGGTGCACACGTCAGGTGCGGGAGTACAAGCAGAAGAGCTTTGCAATGCTTTGCACTAATGGAAAAAGTCTAGAAACCACCCAGATGTCCAACAGAGAGGAAAGCCCACGTTCAGGCTTACTCATTCCTCCTTCAGCAGGCTTCTGATGAGCCCGAGTGCTAGGCAATGTGCTGGAGGGGGGTGGTTACGGAAACCCCAGTCCCTGCCCAGGAAGAGCGTATGAACCTGAGGGAGAAAGACACATAAACACACACTATTCCCCCCATCCCTCGTCTTAATTCACCGTGCATCAGCTCTGCACGATGCACTAGACACGAATCTCAGAGCATCCCCACCAGAAGCTTACAAGATGGGCATCATTTTCCCCACTTGTAGATGAGGAAACCAACCTGAGAAAGTTCAGTCATTTACTAAATGTCGCCGAGTTGGACATAGATAGGAGTCAAACAGACTTGTTATCCCCCTTTCTGTTTTCTTTTAAGACTATTTTTTATTTATACCATTTTATTTGTTTATTATTATTTTTTTTTATTCAAAAGGCACAGTGACAGTTAGGTGAAGCAGCGGTGGGGGGAAAGATGAAAGATCTTCCACCCGCTGATTCACTGCTCATGGGGCTGCAACAGCTAGGCTGTGCCAGGCTGAAGCCAGGAGCCAAGAACTCCAACCAGCTCTCCCATGTGGGTGACCAGGGTCCAAGTACTTGGGTCATCTGCTGCTGCTTTCCTAGGCATATTAGTGGGAGCTGGATTGGAATCAGAGCAGCCGGGACGTGAACTGATGCTCTGCTATGGGATGCTGATGTCGCAAGAGGCAATTTAAGCTGCTGTATCACAATGCTGACCCCTTAAGAGCAGTTATAGGTTTACAGCAAAATTGAGAGGAAGGCACAGAGTTTTCCTATATGCCCCTACTCTCATACATGCACAGCCTCCCCCCTTATCAACAGGCACCTCAATGGTGTATTTGTTGTAACTGATGAACCTACACACCATCAAAGTCCACAGTTTACATTAGATTCATTCTTTTTTTAAAAATATTATTTATTTGAAAGTCAGAGTTACAAAAAGAGAGAGGAGTGACAGAGAGAGAGAGAGAGAGAGAGAGAGAGAAATCTTCCATCTGCTGGTTCACTCCCTAAATGACTCTAACAGTCAAGGTTGGGCCAGGCTAAAACCAGGAGCCAGGAATTTTATCTGGGTCTCCCACATGGGTGCAGGGGCTCAAGGACTTGGGCCATCTTCTGCTGCTCTCCCAGGCCACAAGCAGAGAGCTGGATTGAAAGTAGAGTAGCTAGGGGCCGGCACCGTGGCTCACTTGGTTAATCCTCCGCCTGCGGTGCTGGCATCCCATATGGGTGCCGGGTTCTAGTCTTAGTTGCTCCTCTTCCAGTCTAGCTCTCTGCTGTGGCCCGGGAGGACATTGGAGGATGGCCCAAGTGCTTGGGCCCCTGCACCCATGTGGGAAACCAGGAGGAAGCATCTTGCTCCTGGCTTCGGATTGGTGCAGCTCTTGCCGTGGCGGCCATTTGGGGAGTGAACCAACGGAAGGAAGACCTTTCTCTCTGTCTCACTGTCTAAATCTGTCAAATAAAAAAAAAAAAAGAAAGTAGAGTAGCTGGGGCTCAAACCATTGCTCATATGGGATGCTGGCACTGCAGATGGCAGCTAAACCCACTATGCCACAGCTCTGGCCTCTAGGTTCACTCTAGGTGTTATCTATACCATGGATTGGGACAACTGTGTATGATGTGTATCTACCATTTAAGCATCATTTGGGAGAGTTTCACTGCCCTAAAAATTCTATGTGCTCTGCTTCATCATCCCCCCACCCCCCCGCCCGAGTCCTGGAAGCCACTTATGTGTTTACTGTCTCCATCATTTCGCCTTTTCCAGAATCTCATGCTCATGCAGTTGGAATCATAGTGTGTAGCCTAATCAGCTTTGCTTCTTTCCCTTAGTACTGTGCATTCATTATTCCTCCATGTCTTTTTGTGACTTGACAACTCATTTCTTTTTAGTTAGTGCTGCATAATATTCCACTGTCTGGATAGAACACAGTTTACTTACCTACTCATCTACTGAAGGAAATCTTGGTTGCATCCATGTTTTGACAATTACTAATAAAGCTGACATAAACAGCTGTGTAGGTTTCTGTGTGGACATGCTTTCAGCTCCTTTGAGTAGATGTTGAGGAGTGTGATTGCTGGATCATATAATAAGAGTATGTTTAGTTTTTTTTTTAATTAATTTCTTTTTTTGACAGGCAGAGTGCACAGTGAGAGAGAGACAGAGAGAAAGGTCTTCCTTTGCCGTTGGTTTACCCTTCAATGGCCGCCACGGCCGGCACGCTGCAGCCGGGGCATCGTGCTGATCCGAAACCAGGAGCCAGGTGCTTCTCCTGGTCTCCCATGGGGTGCAGGGCCCAAGCACCTGTGCCATCCTCCACTGCACTCCCAGGCCACAGCAGAGAGCTGGCCTGGAAGAGGGGCAACTGGGACAGAATCCAGCGCCCCGACCAGGATTGGAACCCGGGATGCCGGCGCCGCAGGCAGAGGATTAGCCTATTGAGCCGTGGCCCCGGCCTATGTTTAGTTTTGTAATAAGCTGCTCAACTGCCTGCCACAGTGGCAGGTGCACCACTTTGCATTCCTCTCAGCCGTGGATTCTAGGCTGTTGCTCCACATCCTCACTACCATGTGCTGTTGTCAGCCCCTGCTCTTTTCACAAAATGATGCTGCCTCAGTAATGTAATATCTGTGGCATATCAATATAATAGGCTTCTGTAAAGCCAATATAATTGCTATGTTTATATGAGGGCACTTAGAGAAGTTCATGGAAAATGTAATTAAAGATTATTTTTGTGAAAAAAATTGAAATCTATATATACAAGGAGTCTTCAATAAATTCCTGAAAAAGGCACACCATGAAAAGACTATGCACAGGGGCCAGCGCTTGTGGCATAGTAGGTTAAGCTTCCGCCTCTGGCACCGGCATCCCATATGGACTCCAGTTCAAGTCCTGGCTACTCTGCTTCCCATCCAGCTCTCTGCTGTGGCCTGGGAAAGCAGTAGAAGATGGCCCAAGTCCTTGGCCCCCTGCACCCATTTGGGAGACCCAGAAGAGGCTCCTGTCTCCTGGCTTCAGATTGGCCCAGCTCCAGCTGTTATGGCCTTTTGGGGAGTGAACCAGTGGATGGAAGATCTCTCTCTCTCTGCCTCTGCCTCTTTGTAACTCTGCCTTTCAAATCAATAAATAATTTTTTTATTATTTTATTTATTTTTTGACAGGCATAGTGGACAGTGAGAGAGAGAGAGAGACAGATCTTCCTTTTGCTGTTGGTTCACCCTCCAATGGCTGCTGCGGCGCTGCGGCCGGCACACCGTGCTGATCTGAGGCCAGGAGCCAGGTGCTTCTCCTGGTCTCCCATGCGGGTGCAGGGCCCAAGGACCTGGCCATCCTCCACTGCAACCCCGGGCCGTAGCAGAGAGCTGGCCTGGAAGAGGGGCAACCAGGACAGAATCCGGCGCCCCGACCAGTACTGGAACCCAGTGTGCCCGCACCACAAGCAGAGGATTAGCCTGTTGAGCCACAGCGCCGGCCAATAAATAAATCTTTCTAAAAAACTTTGCATAAATATCCAAAAAATTTGCACCAAAATAAATAACTTTTTTTCCTTTTGGTTAGTTGATTTTATTTTCTAAGACTTCTTTTCTCTTTTACTTAGTTTTTTTTTTTTAAGATTTATTTATTTATTTGAAAGTCAGGGTTACACAGAAAGAGGAGAGGGAGGGAGAGAGAGAGAGAGAGGCCTTCCATCCACTGGTTCACTCCCCAATTGGCCACAATGGCTGGAGTTGTGCTGATCCAAAGCCAGGATCCAGAAGCTTCTTCCAGGTCTGCCATGTGGGGGCAGGGGTCCAAGGATGTGGGCCATCTTCTACTGCTTTCCCGGGCCACAACAGAGAGCTGGATTGGAAGAGGAGCAGCCAGGACTCGAACTAGTGCCCATATGGGATACCGGCACTGTGGCTTTACCCGCTACACCACAGCATCGGCCCAAATTTTACTTTTAATTACACTTCTACAAGTTGTTTTCTTTCTTTTTTTTTTTTTTTGCTGTGTCCTCCTCTATGTGAATGTATATATAAAAACACATCAGGCCGGCGCCGTGGCTCAATAGGCTAATCCTCCACCTTGCGGCGCCGGCACACCGGGTTCTAGTCCCGGTCGGGGCGCCGGATTCTGTCCCGGTTGCCCCTCTTCCAGGCCAGCTCTCTGCTATGGCCAGGGAGTGCAGTGGAGGATGGCCCAGGTGCTTGGGCCCTGCACCCCATGGGAGACCAGGAAAAGCACCTGGATCCTGGCTCCTGCCATCGGATCAGCGTGGTGTGCCGGCTGCAG